TTTTTTTTTTAAATATGTATATTAATTTTTATAAAGTTAAACATTTTATTTTCTTCTTTTTTTATCAATTTCACTTTTCTTATTCCACATTTTTACTCAACTAGTAACACCATTTGGGAAAATCATCGCACCAATCACCACCACCGTTATTATTGTTTTATAAGTATTTGGTGTGTCGTTAATGAGGGTTAGAGAATATTGTGTGCAATCATTTGTGTTGTGTTTTGTTAAGAGAATTTAGGAAGAGATTTGGAAAGGGAAAAAAAAAAATATAAGTAAAATGTGAATAAAATATACTTATATTTCACCTAATTTTACATAATTTTTTTTTTATTTTTTGTTTCCAATTCCTCCCCAAATCCCCCAACCAAACATAGGCTTGGTGTGTCGTCGGGGAGGATTGAAGAAAATTGTGATGGTGTAGAGATCGTAATTTGGTGGTGTGTGGATGAAAAATGAGAATAGTATGACGATTTAATTTTGATATTAGAAGATATTTAGACAATTTTTTTTTTCCTGTTATGTTAGTTGTAAGAAAAAAATCTGACATTGAGGTAATTTTAATTTTCAAAATGTGAGAAAAAAATCTCTATTTTTTATAAGCGAGTCTGTGTTGTTTGGGCTCATAAGGCTCATCATGGATTCTATTTCGATAATTCGAACCGTTAATATGTAGAGCTTGTCAAAGATTTTATTCCTACAAAAAATAACGTTAATTGGATATCAATAGCTACTTGATTGGATCAGATTTCTGTTAACAATTTATTTTGAAAATTATATTGACGGTTAACAGAAATATAATTGATCAAGTGGCTATCGATATCCGATTAACATGATTTTTTGCAGGAATGAAGTACTCGACAAGTTCTTATGATTATCGAAACAGGATCTGTGATGAGCCCAACGAGTCCAACAGCACGCTCCAATCTGATCTTAGACTGGAGAAAAGCCTGATCCTTTTTATAAATTTCAAAGAGGATATGTGTAATTTACCCTATAGTTGGAAAATCCTTTAGACATAGAAGAATATCAAGAGTTTTGCCAATGATGTAACCGTGTGATAGGGATTAAATTTGTATAGTGTGGATTCATGTAGCATATGGGCCATAGATTGATAGTTTTAGATAATTTTTTTTTGGATGTGTAGTATTATTGTGTGTCCATTTGGTAATTTGACTTCTTAGTGATTTCTTGTGGGCAAAGCAGTAATGTATTAATGTGTATGATGTGATTTTTGATAATAGAATTGAATTTGTTGACTTTTGGGATGAATGTTGTGATTGATTAAAAAGTTTAGGGTCTTTTTTAGATGTGCCTTGCATATGGCATGTAAGGCACTTATACCATTTTTACTTTGCCTTTACACATTTTTATGTATTGAGTTATATTAAAATATTTGAAAATTTACACATTGGTGACCTGCTAAGCAGGTCAGTTTCCAGGTAAATTAATAAAATGATATATTATATGATTAAAGGTGTAAATTGTCACAAAAAGGTGTAAGTAATTCACAAGAAGCGTAAATTTTCACAAAAGGCATAAACTTCCACAAAAGGCGTAAGTAATTTAAAAAAAAAGCGTAAGTGATATTTTGAAAATTTACACATTTGTAAACTTACACTTTTTTGTGAAATTACTTACACATTTTCTCAGAACTTACGCCTTTTGTGAAATTACTTACACCTTTTATGAACACTTACTCTTTTTGTGAGTTGGAGGTTGGAAATGGTAGTACCTGTCCTGATAACGTGCGCGCAGACGGTTGGCCTTGTTCAGCTGTGGTTGTGGCATTAGGACGAGTTGTTTCTGGTACTGATGAAATGGCAGCATCAGTGCCTTGAGGCTCTTTCTCTGGTTCTGCTAACAGGGGAAAGTCATGAGGACCTTCAAGTTCTGTCTCGCCCATTGGTCGTGGAGATGAGTCCTGTATTATGTCCATCCCTGTAAATTGGAGAACAATACCAGTTACTTAAACAGAAGTTTTTTTTTTCCCAAACGAACAGTAACATTTGTATTTCTATTTACCTTGGTTATGGTGAACTTCTGGTTGAGGGGATTTTGTGTTGTCATATGTTAGAGAGGATTGACTGTTGATTGAAATGTCAAATTTAATCCTCTGTGATTCTTTGTTTGACGTTTGGGAATTGGAGGGGTTGGATGGTGATGGTTGAGGGCTAGAGACAGAAGGGACAATGTGTTGAGGAGAAGTGGAAGGATGTTGTGATGCAGACTGTGTAGATTGCTGTGGCGAAGACTGTGAATCAGGTTGTAAGGAAGTTTGTTGCGATGCTTCAGGTGGTGGTGGAGTTGGTTGTACAGTGGGTTCTGTGGGTACATTGCTGATTGGACTGGGAATTTGATGAATGTGTTGAGGAGAAGTGGAAGCATCGTCGTCATCAGCAGCAGCAAGGAGTAATTTCCTTCTTTTTCTCTGCACAAAAATAAGTGATCAGTCGGGCGTGAATGGAAATTGAGATGCTGTAAATATGTAAAGTGAAGGCTTACTTGGTAGAGCTGCCCTGAAGGATTTGATGTTGTTTGGCCAACCATTTGGCTGAGAGGGATATCCCACTCACTTAGGTCTGTGCTTAGAGCAGGAGCAGTGGAAGGCTCTTCTCTCTTCTTCGCCGTGACCTCTGTCTCAGCAGGGGTACGGGTGGTAGCTCCTCTCTGTGCTTGTGTCTGCGCGGCTGCGAAAGAGTCTGCCATTAATTTCGGAACTGAGGGGGTGTTTGTCTGAGTAGTTGCATCCATTGGATCCTTGCCTTTACGTTGGTCCCTAACCAATGGTTCAACAGCAGGCCCAATTTTGGCTGTCAAAGGTTAAACAAGTTAGTGTTGTAGAGAAAAAAAATAAAATTTGCATGACACAGTCAGGGATATGAAGTATATGAAGGAAGAATACCTGCAGCCTTAAGCTTGGAAGGCGAGGATATGCAGCCCTGAATATGAATACAAGTATCGTTAAGGCAGCTTTCAAGTGGCTTGCAGAAAATAATGGCAGACATAAGTCCCCACCAATGGTCAAAAGCAGCCGAGCAGTCCGAAGCAGGTTTGAAGAAGAAGAGGCCAAAATCTTGGAAAAGTTTGGTGTTCTCTGTCAGAATGGATTCAGCTTGTGTAGGATCTTTCAAGTGGATTCTGGACCCAATCTCCTCATGGATGGTTGGGTGGAAATAAGGATAAGGGATAGCCTGGGAAAGACCAAATTGCCTGGACCATTGATTGGGACAGTATGTCTCAAAACTGCAGCTGGATAGCTTGGCGGAGGATATGGAACAGCCAACCAAGACATGTCTACAGGTGAGAATGTGTCTCCAACTCTCATTTTGTTCTTGGACTTGCTCATTGTGTAAATCAGAAGGGTCTGTGAAGAGGAAGCGAAGTCTACTGGAGGAGAATTCAAAGTTTTGAAATGGCATGTACAAGTTGGAAGGTCTCTTCGAAGGAAGGTTGTAAAACATGGTAAGATGATTTCTGAAAGTGAGGATGGGTTGGCTGGTATAAGTGAGCAGTTGCTCAGCATAGGAGTAGCAAACAGGTTTCAAGGTGTTAGGTGGTGGGGGTCGTGCCTCAGGGAAATAGGCATACAACCAGGCCTGGAAGAGCCAGAAGGGGCCACCACAGTTGCCAGAAATCTTCTTGTCGACAAAGGAAAATAGGGCCTTGTAAAGGGTGGCAAGAAGATAAGGGGCTAAAGCCATAAGTTGGCCGTCTTGCATACACAAGGCAAGGGGGAGGTATTCTTTCGTGATCTTGTACCCAGGGACACAAAAAAGAAACTCACAAAGCCAAAGTAAGTAAAAAGCAGTTCTTTCTTTGTCATCGACAGGGGAACCACGCTTGCCTTGGTATTTTTTGGCAAAATCTGTATAGCACATGTCAGTGTTTAAAGTAAATGTCACTTTTGGAGGCTCAAGGAGAGCATGAATTGGATTGCCCAAGATTGGCAGACCAGTCAAGTGAGCTACATCTAAGATGGTAGGGGAAATCATACCAAAATTGACGAGTAAGGAGTTACTAGACTGCGACCAAAAGCATGCAGCAGCAGCAATCAGCCCTTTCTCCACGTCATAAATTTTAGTCGACAGTCTAATTGCTTCAGCAATGCCCTGGTGCTTCCATACTTCGGCGTCGTGACCTTCAATTCTCCTGGCCCAGCTTCGCCAATCAGAGTCTGGTGACCTCCACCCTCTGAGTGGGTTTTTGCTGACATTCCAGTTAGTCCACTTGAGTCCAGCTTGGTTGAGAAGAAGGTTCTCACCATTACCAAGGGGATAGTATGGAGCTAGCTCGTCTGGGAAGTAAGACGCGAAGGTAGGGCCTAGAGTAGCCTTAGCGACAGAGCTTGGGCTGGGCAATAGGGTTGCAGCAAATTTTAGAGGAGCGATAAGTGCTCTGATAGGGTCCGGGAAGCGGAGTAGGTCTTCATTGTTCTCCTCAGATGGAGATGGTTGAGATTTTTTCGGTGCCATGGCTTAGGGTTTTGTGGTGCTCTGGTTTTGAACGGCAATGGTTGAGAAGAAGGAGTACAGTCTGGGGAGTTCGAATCAGAGGGAAATGAAGTGGTTTGAAGTTGAAAGGGTGGGTCTTTTATAGCTTATGATGGGGCCAGTATATTTAAAAGCTCTTATATTGGGCTGTACTTTATGCTTGTTTTGGGCCCAAACAATGGCCCCCTCGTTGAAGTTAAATATCATATGACTTGGACCCCCATGACCCCCTCTCTCTCTGATTGGCCACTTTTTTTTTTTT